GGGCAGTTCAGTCCGCAAAAGCTCCAGAAATCTCTCTCCGTTTAATGTCCTCGGGAGTATTATTGGACCAATCAAAAAGTTGTCAATCAGTGCGGCCCACACATTTACAGAAAATTTCACTTGAAATGTTGAAGCCCTTTTCAGCCTAGCGTTTTCGTCTTTTGGGAACCACTTATGTAAATTACGACAGTTCACGATGCCGTCTCTCGTGAATTGAGATTCATCAGTCCACAGAATTGTTTTCGGGAATTCAGGATTGTTGTTTTATTAAAATCCATGTAGACATAACGACCTTGGACGCCAATCCACATCTTCATGCAAGTGCTGCAACCCTTTGATAATGGTATGGATGCAACCCTGCTTTCCTCAAAATGCGCCAAACCGATTTCTGGGATACGCCATGACGTAACGCCAAACGTCTCGTACTAGTAGTCGGGTCAGCAAACAAATCATCCAAAATGGCTTCTTCGATAGCAACATGAATAATAACACCTGGTTCGCGGCGATCTCGAGGCAAACCAAGTCCAGTGTTAGCCAGTCTTCTATGTACTTCTTGGAAGTTACGGGCTGATGGAACAGGGCGTCGATTTGGAAATGCAGCTAGATAAGCTGTGCAAGCAGCTCTAGCACTCCCTCGGTACATTCCATAATAATAATGGATATCGGCAATGTGTGCCGGAGGGAAATCACTTATACGTGGCATCGCGACCAAAAAGCGAAAGCGTGATATGTAGCAAACGAAACTGATAAAGTTGGCAGGAGAAACACAAATAGCTGCCTAACTGCCCAACATTCAATTGTTTTTCAACTGGGCCCGCCTCCCCACTCGTACTTCAGCCCGCGCGACTCTACATTGAATCACCAAAAAAAGGTATCTACATGATAAACAATGGTGCCTAGCAAGACGATGCGCATGGGCTTTTTTATAAACACTCATAGAAACTGTTACATTTGAGTAATAAACGTGCAATTTTTACTATTATAAAGCTGATGACATGTAGAATAACTTACAAATAAAAAAAAGTAGGGTACAAGGGACGATATTTATAGAAAATTTGAAATTATTGTAAAAATGATGAAAAAAAAACAGATTTTCACCAAAATTTTCTTTATTCTAAATGGATGTCATTACTTTTCCTGGAAATCTTCACTTTTCAGGCACGTCCTTTTACCAGCAATCACTACAAAATATATTCCAACATGATAGGACATTTAGTTTAAAAGTTGTAACGAGTTATTTCCATATGGTTAGAAGCTACTACTAAAAATTTTAAAATATTCATATATTCATAAAAAATCAAATTCATGTTTTTTTGATGATTTATCCATCGAAGAAATAGAGTGTAGTTTCCCTGATTTTGATATGTGCACCAAGAACGGTGACGACAACTATAACAGGCTTCTAGGTCTAAGATGTTTAGGTACAGTAGGATTTGATATTTTATTGAGAGGTATAAGTAAGATCAACTTCCACTGCTTAGAGTGACATCCTTTTTCTAGGCAAAACGTAGGAAGTTTCACTTGAGAAAGTTGTAAGAGGACTTACTTTGATAATATCCAAGAACGGTGACTACAACTATATATGTACTGACACCCATGCAATGTGTTTTAATGTCTGATAACATAATTGAGAAACATCATTACCATTATTGTATAGTTTCATGATCAGTATCAAAACAGTTAATTAACATAATAAAAAAAAGTAGATCTGTTACATAATATTCCATGAGTCGGTAGAATATGGAAGGTACTCAAAAGTTCTCTCAAAATAGGCTTACTACTGAAAAGGTACGAGGTAGACCTGCTTACTCTGATACATTCATTGTTTTTATTTTTAAAACCCACACTGCACTTTTTTGTATTTGAAGAAGGTGTTCAAAATGTCATTCTCCACTTTCCACACAAGCTTCATTACGACGAAACCAGTTTCTTCTTACTCTAGGTCGTCGATGTTGTCCATTTATTATTACAGCCGCATTAAATTTTTTTTTGCGAAGTTGTGCTTCAGTTGTGATTGGACCAGCCCCATAAACCATCCCTTTAAGTTCTCCCCAGATCTTGCTGGCCATTTTCGAGGATCAGGTGCATTTCGACCGATCCAGCGATTTGGATAATGTTCATTCAAATATTGAATGACGCCTCTAGAAATGTGTGGTGGTGCCCCGTCATGAAGAAACCACAAATTCAGTCTCCGTTGTAATGGCATGCTGTCTAAGATCTGTTCCAAACGTTCTGGTAGTTTATTGGCTAGAAAGCTAAGGTATCCTCTTGACAACTTTGGGGGTAACTTGAAAGGGCCAATTACGTGATCGTCAAGAATACCCGCCCAAATATTTATTTTAAAACATTATTGGAAATGACTTTCACGAATGGTATGAGGATTTTCTTGGGCCCACGTGTGAGTATTATGGAAATTTAATATCCCGTCTCGCGTAAATGTACATTCGTCCGTCGCTAGAATGTTTTTAAAAAGATCCGGATTTTCAATGTTTACTAAGTGACATATAAATCCGAACACCCAGTTTAAATGGTTTTATTTTAATAAAAGTTGGTGAATGTATTTATCTTACTGTAAATAACAAGTGAAAAAATGTTCAGCCTTATCAGTTGGACATTCCGGTTTTTATACTGCTTTTTTTTAATTCACTAACGCTCTAAAAATGAATATTTCAGCCGCAGTAAAGAATCAACGTTGGCGGATTTTGGTTCTTGACATCCTTTACGATCGGCTACGATGCCTAGAGTACGGAGACCTGTACGATTTCGTCAACTTAGTGAGTTTGATAGGTGCCGTATAGTGGGACTTCAGGAAGCTGGACTTTCTTTTCGGGCAATTGCAGTTAGAGTGCAAAGAAGTGTAAACACTGTGGTTAGGTGTTGTCAGGCATGGCTTCGAGAAGGCCGTACGCAAAGAGCAAGGTGCACTGGACGCCGCCGTAGAACAACAGACCGTGAAGATCGCCACCTAAGATTATTGGCCTTAAGGGACCGTTTCTCCACTACCAGGTCCATTGCAAATGAATGGATTACGGAACACGGAAGACCTATTGGCATGCGAAGTGTTTACCGACGAATGAGAAGTTTTGGCTTGTTTTCATACCGGCCACACTGGACCCTCCCTCTAACTCGAGAACACCGACGTAATCGCCTTGAGTGGTGCAGACAACGGTCACTCTGGGATCAGGAATGGAACGAGTCTCGATTTTGTTTAGGCATGCACGATGGTCGTGCCAGCGTTAGAAGGCGACGTGGTGAAAGGAGGAATCCACAGTTTTTTGTTGAAAGACATGTTCATCACACTGTTGGAGTTATGGTTTGGGGTGCTATAGCTTATGGTTCCAGGTCATCTTTAACCTTCATCAGAGGTAACATGAACGCGCAGCGTTATATCCACGAAGTTCTAGAACCCCATCTTTCACCCTATCTTGATACCCTGGCAGATCCAACTTTCCAACAAGATAATGCCCGACCACATGTTGCAAGAGTCACAATAGACTTCTTTCAACATAATGATGTCACATTGTTATGGCCACCAAGATCTCCCGACTTATCCCCAATTGAGCACAGGAGGACATTGACCACCTGATCAGAAGCATGCCTAGGCGCGTTGGAGAATGCGTAGCACATCAGGGTGCATCCACACATTATTAAAGGTCAAACGGCTTTAAAGCAGTGCAATCATTTTGAAATTTTTATCATTTACTTATTATGCTTCATTAAGTACTTATACAAAATTTTATTAAAATAAAACCATTTAAGCTGGGTGTTCGGATTTATATGTCACTTAGTATATTTGTGCAAAAACCACTGACAGAATGTAAGTCTGCGAGGATAGTCTTCTGGTAACAAGTCCTGCACTCATTGTACATGGTAGATAAAGCAATTTTTTCCATAGGATTCTATGGACTATGGTATGAGATAGTCCTACGCGGCGGTCTAATTCCCGAGTGCTGATATCTGCATTGATTTCCACGATATTTAAAATTTGTTCCTCCTGCTCTACATTAACCTGTCTTTCACGAGTGCGAATATTAGTGGTCTGGACGCTTCCTGTATCTCGAAGTCTTTGGTACACTTGCACAAATGTCCTTCTGTCTGGGTGTACCCGTTGGCGAAATCTGACGCGATAAATTTGAGCTGCAAGATTTGAATTCTGATGAGCTTCACCGGAAACTAACAACATGTCGGCGAACTCTTGATTCGAGAACATTGTAAATAAACACGACGACGTACGCGAACAATAGCTAACCACTATTACCGTTTGCGATCGATTGCCGGTTCGATAAGAGGGATGAAAGATCGACGCGCTGTTGTCATGTGTGTTTTAAATATTTAATTTAATGGAACTTACTTACTGACTACAAATTTTGGCTTAACTTAGATAAACTTAATACCGTTTATTTGTTAATTACCCAATTTAAAAACGTTTTAGATTGTATTATAAAAATTAGTAAGATTGTGGTGATTGTGGTCGATATAAAACACTTAAAGTTGTCAACTATAAAGCCATTTAGACAAAAATCTATTGACTTTTAGACCATGGGTCATATGAACTTTTTGACTTGTTTTGACCCCCATATCAATAATTACTATCATAATGTATTATCGCCTTACATTTGTGATCGTGCCTGCAAGCCCTTACTTGTATGTCATCCCTCGTAAGCTTCCTGGTCGACCATACTAGGGCCATGTAATTGTACCTTAATATCGTCAGATCAGGAGCTCAATATAGTGGAATTACTCAATCACTGACGTACAGAAGTTTGTTCAACTCCGATAAAAAACTAATACAGGATACACATATAGAACACCGGCGTCTGTCAGTCCGTCGTAAACAAAACGCTCTGCAGCCTCCTTATCTGGCGAATAGTCATCGTAAAAAACACTGTTCTTATATGTGAGAAACAGTGGCAAATGGGAAAAGAGTAAAAATAGTTTATTCTACAGTTGTTGCTCTGAGAGATTCGTAAAGCTGATATCTTGTTATTGATGCCTTACAGGAACTAGTATCTACAGTTGTTGCACCTGTTGTCAAGCATGGTATAAGGTGACAGTGACCATTTCAGATGAAGAAAAGGATTCGATAGGAATGAAATGTTAATGGATTTGAATAAAATAGGGAATAATGCAACAATTTCTGACATTCATTTCCATTTGAAAGTTTTTTGATATTTGCATTTCAAGCAATATACACTGATTAACCGGACAAACAAAATTTTAAATAACTTTTTAACCTTTGCATCAATTTCGTTAATTTTTTCATCAAGTTATAAATAATTTCATTGTGATCATTATCGACTGTCGATATTGCAAAAAATGAAAATGTTTGTTGTTATTAGGGTGTAACTAAAAGGTGCATTTTGCCCTAAACTTCTGAACACCCTGTAGAAACATTGGATTACTGAATAATGTATGTTCGTTTGAGAATTTTAAGCCTCAACTTTTCTCAACAGTTCTTTTTTTGGTTCATGTCAACATCTCAATTATTGAAGAATATATGCTGTTTTGAAGAAAATAATGCGAATGATAGCCATAAACAGTTTAATTTAAAAAATTATAGTGACAACATTGGTAAGAAAAAACTAAGCGAATCATAACCATAAACTATTTAACTTAATTTAATTTATTACAGGTACAGTACTGTGTTTTGGAAGCATTAGAATATTTTTTTTTATAACGAAGCCACCGCACAGGCAGAAGCCTAAATGCCGGAACACCGTGACTGCTATGATGATCCCAAAGAAATTTTTTAATACAATTTTTTAACTGCCTAAGTTTAGTAAAACTGGGAAAAGCTTCCTCTTGTAGGTTGTTCGACAATCTCGACACTCTCGGGACAAAGAAGCGATCGTATCGGCCAGTTCTGGATGTACGAAGTTTGACACGGTTAGGATGGGACGCCAAAGTCAGGCGGGTCTGCCTGGCAGGCACATCGCGCGGTGGCATCATGAAAGAGAGCTCTGAGGAGCAAATCCCGTTGGTGTAGCGGTAGAAAAGAGCTAGATCGCCGACGGCCCGCCGGTTCGAAAGAGTCCCGAGACTGTCTGTTAGAGAAGAGTCATCGATCAGTCGGACCGCCCTCCTCATGGATAATGTAGTCGGGGCGGCAGCACCCCAAACGTGTGAGCAATACTTGAGGCTAGGCCTTATCTGGGCCTTGTATAGAGTGAGAAGGTCATGCGGAGAAAAGTACTTCTTAGCTCTAAACAAGTAGCCTAGCTTTTTCCCAGCAGCTGCAGCTATTGACGAGATATGTTCGTGCCAGATCAGGTCCTCGGTGATCTGGACTCCGACCAGACGAAATGAATGGCTCTTTGGCAGATCCCGTTCATCGAAACCGGATGAGCGCTAGGGCGCTTTTTGTTCGTCAAAGTACAGTACTGTGTTGAGGAAGCATTGTTGCGTCCCCAAGCAGTGATAGCATCCAGATCTCTTGTCAGAGAGGAAGTCGTCGCTAGTCCTCTTTTGTCCAGCTCAGCGGCAGAGATCGGCTTGTCACTCTGAATTCCTGCATGTAGAGTGCTGTCATCCGCGAAGCTGTGAATTGGGCTGATCATGTAGAAAAGGAGGTCGTTGATATGTAAGAGAAACAGTGTCAGAGCCAAGTCCGATCTCTGGGGAACACTCGCGTTGACGTTGTGGGATGAATAGGAGAACCCGTCAATTACGACGAATATCTTGCAACCAGAGACAAAGTCAGCCACCCATCTGCAAAGCTTTTCTGGGAGGCTATAGGATAGAAGTTTGCTTAAGAGGGCAGCGTGCCACAGCTGATTGAACGCTTTCGTGATGTCAAGAGCAACGGCATGAGCCTCACCATAAGACTGGATTGAGTTTACTCCACAATTGCGTGACGTAAGTTAGGAGGTCCCCTGTGGATCGTTGGTGCCGGAAACCATACTGCCTGTCACTAATCAAGCTGTGACGTTCGAGGTAGTCCTGAAGCTCGCGATTTTTGCACCTCTCCATCACCTTATAACAGAAAGCAGAGCTATAGGCCTGTGGTTGTAAGGGTCGGTCTTAGATCCTTTTTTTTGGGATGGGTTAGACATGAGCAAATTTCCAGTTTTCTGGGAAGGTGCCGGATTCATAAGATATCTGGAAGAGACGCGTAAGAACAGGAGCAAGCTCAGCTGCACACCTCTTCAGTACAATGGCAGGAATCAAGTCCGGACCAGAAGCTTTGTCCAGCGACAAGAGCACTCATCTTACGGTCTTATGGCTGAATGTTACCTCCCGCATAGTGTAGGGAACCCTTTGAATTGACGATACTTGGGCGTTGGGGGGACGTCCATGGTGGAGTTGGTAGCAAAGATATTTGGTAGTAGCACTTCCGCCTTGGCCTTTGTGTCGAATACAATAGTTCCATCCTGGCACGTAAAAGGTGGAAGGCTACTCTGTGAGAAGTTCTTTGCAATCTGCTTGGCCAGCGTCCAGAAAGACCGACTGCCATTGCGCTGCGACATTACCCTGTGCCTAACTTTTTAGACGATCTTCGCTGAAGTTATCTTAAAGACCCTCAAAACAGTCATCCACATAAAGTACCTGTTTGATTCATAACTACGAGCAATGCAGGTTTCAACTTCAAGAATTTACACAAAAAAATAATTTCAAAATTGTTGTTATTTGTCAATTAAATTTATTTTAACAAGTTGACCTGGATAGAGCCATGATAATGTTTTTTAAATTCATATCTCCTTTGCTCATAAACATTAAGACTCGAATTTCTTACAGATTTCAAACAAGATTCTTAATTTTATGATCCAATTTATAATTTTACTATTAGTATTCGCTTAAGTATTTCCGAGTGGGGTGGTGGGGAAATCAACTCTAGCTCGATTTATTTTTTGAAATTGAGTCCTGAAATCGGAGCGCGTTGTAAAATTTTGCATTATATTACAATTTGTTAGAGTGTATTTTGTTAAGGGTATATCAATTACCTAAATTAAGAATTGCTTAAACAATTTTATTGTGAAATTATTTTATTAGAGTGAGAGTAAAAAGTAAATGATTAATTGTTAACTTACTATTTCATAGTAATTTAATTTTGAAGATTATACAACGGGTTAAGTAGTAAATAAAAACGAGCCAGATGTGTCTCATTATTTAGACGAGTTACCCCAAATTGAAAAAGATGGTTCTTCGTTGCTTAGAAGCCAAAATAATGCACAATTTTACAGCGCGCTCCGATTTGAAGACAATTTCAAAGAATAAATCGAATCGAATAAATCTCATTGTTTATAAAAACAACACATATCTAGCTGTATCTTTTTATGTTTTTGTCATTAGAAAGACCTTTCATCTAAAACTTTCAAATATCTGCTAAACCAATTTTTTTTCTCTAGAGCTTGGGCTATCAACACGGTTTCTACTGGTGCTTGCTCTCTCTGCTACAACCTGTCCCCTTGCGCGCCCGTAAAATCCACTCGCCTGACAAATACGAGGGATGTCTTTTAAGTTTTGCATATTGAAATAAAACAAGACGGTAGGTAGTTTTAAATGGCTTTATTGCTTTTTGAAGTATTCTCGACGAAGATTAATACACATCTGCATGCGCTCGAACCAATTTTCGAAGCACTTATTCCACTCGTTTACTGGCAGATCCAAAACGGCATTTTTGAATGCGTCAACTGCTTCTTCGGGTGACTAGAACGTTGACCACGCAGTCTGTTCCACGTTTTCTTCCGTTAAATACTGCCTTGTTTTTTGGGATGAGTGCGAGCTTGCATTGTCTTGGTGGAGGATGATTCTTCTTTCGGGGTTGATTTTTCGAAGCCCGGTGATGACTTTTGGTAAACAAATGATGGTATACCAATCCGCGGTAACAGTTCTTTGATCATTAAGAGGAATTGTTGCAATATGACCCGCTTTTGACACAAATGTCGCGACCATCTTTTTCGAAACCCTTCGAGAACGGATGACTCTTGTTGGCTTTTATTCACCTTCGAACACCGAAACAGCCGACTATCGTTTATTTTCTGGTTCATAATAGTAAATCCACGATTCATCACCACTAATAATGCTGTACACATTTTTTTAGTTTCCGGAATTGAAACGGTCAAGCGTTTTTTGACACCAATTAACCCTGGCTGCTTTCTGCTCGTCAGTCAACGAGAAACTAATTTTCTTACTCCTAATTCTTCATGTGAAATTTTTTGAATTGAGGTCTTTGAGATCTTCAAGGACGCCTCAATCTCGCGATATGTCACATGTCTATCTTCAATGATGAGTTTGCGCACAGCATCGACGTTTTCCTGGGTAACTGCCGTTTTTGGTGCACCCACCCTGGGATCGTCGCTAGGACTCACCTGCCACGTTTGAATTCTCCATACCAACGGGAAATTGTCGACTGATGTGGCGCTTCGTTGCCGAAAACAGACAGTAACTCAGCAAGGCATTCTTGTTGCGATAATTGTCTCTGAAAGTTGTAATAAATTATGGCGCGAAAATGTTCTCGGTTGAGTTCCCTTGTTCTAATGACTTGATGATACTTAAAAATTCTCTGTAGTGAGAACACTGCACGTATTGTTGTGAAACTTTAAATTTAAGTTTACTAAAGATTGAGGTTAAGATTCAGTACTGACGTTCGACCCGCGCGTCCTACTATGCTTCTATATGCAAAACTTAAAAGACATCCCTCGTATTAGCCAGAGTGATTATACTGGTCCGCAGATGAGTATACTGTAGTAATACTGTGTAGTAATTGCAGATTGCGAAGGTTTAGGCGCTCAATCAAATTTAGAAGATTACTTCTATAAGCCGGTAAACATAAGATGGTAAAATCTTGGCATACCTAATTTTTTTCTGTGGCCTGGGGCTGACATCAACCAGATTGCCTTTCCACAAAAACTTTTCCAAACATAAATCAGCAAATCGACGTTCCGTTTAATTCTGTCAACGGTAGAACGGAACGGTAAAACATACCCCGAAATAGGGAGAATTAAAAGGGATGCGGTTGAAGACCCTTTCTCTATACAACACTGAACGGTCATCTCGATAAGATCGATTTTTATTCCTTCATGAGCAATTCCTATCAAGTT